TGAGAGAATATGGGGTTGGGGAAAGCTGGATGATGGCAGTCCTGGTGAGTGAGAGAATATGGGGTCGGGGAAAGCTGGATGATGGCAGTCCTGGTGAGCGATAGAATATGGGGTTGGGGAAAGCTGGATGATGGCAGTCCTGGTGAATTAGAGAATATGGGATTGGGGAAAGCTGGATGATGGCAGTCCCGGTGAGTGAGAGAATATGGGGTTGGGGAAAGCTGGATGATGGCAGTGCTGGTGAGTGAGAGAATATGGGGTTGGTAGCTCAGCAGAGGCTGTTAACTCTATCAGATGATAATGCCAAGTGAATAGCCAAGGTCTTTTTCCCAGGGTTGGAGGGGGGGGTGTACAAAACTAGAGGGCATAGATTTAAGGTAAGAGGGGAAAGGGAATTAAGGGGAAAACTTTTTCCACACAGAGAGCGGTGCATGTGTGGAACGAGCTGCCAGAGGAAGTGGTGGAGGCTGGTACAATTACAACATTTAAAAGGCATCTGAATGGGTACATGAATAGGAAGGGTTTAGAGGGATATGGGCCAAATGCTGGCAAATGGGACTAGATTAATTTAGAATATTAATTTAGGTCATCATGGACGAGTTGGGCCTGTTTCCGTGCTGTATATCTCTATGACTCTATGATTGAAACTGCTGAACTGAAAGCTGAGAAGCATTTGCATTGGGTAAAGGGGGGTCAAGGGTAGGCACCTATTACAGCAAGACATTTCAATAGTTAAAGGTGGCAAACGTTTGGAATACACCCTGCTGCAAATGCCAATCAATGCCAGATCAATTGTTCGTTTCAAAACTGCAACTGGCGATGCCTTTAGATGCCTGAAGAACAAAAAGAGACGCATGGAGGTGAGGTGACAGAGCAGCCACAATCTCATTCAGCAGGTTCGAGTGCTCCAGGCTCACTCTGAAGACAACTTTCAGAGAATGATCACAGAAAGAGGCCATTTGGCCCATTATGACTGCACTGGCCGAAGATTAACCTCAGGGAAGGGCATCCCTGAGCAGGATTGTTGCTGACCCAGGCAATGGCCAAGTGGGATTATCGCCAGACTATTATTCTCGATACCGAGCTAATGTTTTGGGGAACATGTGTGTGAATCTCACCATGGCAGATGGTGGAGTTTGAATTCAATAAAGAATCTGGAATTAAGAGTCGAATGATGACCGTGAATCAGTTGCTGATTGTTGGAAAAACCCACGTGGTTCACTGATGTCCTTTAGGGAGTGGAAACTGCCGTCCTTACCTGGCCTGGCCTACATGTGACTCCAGACCCACAGCAATGCGGTTGATTATTAACTGCCCTCTGGGTAATTATGGAAGGGCAATAAATGCTGGCCTAGCCAGCGGCGCCCACATGCTATGAAACAAAAAAAAAGCTCTCCTGGCAAAGGCCCCAAACCCAGCCGTGAAATGAAACACGAACAGAAAAAGACAGAGGGTTTTCTGAGCTGAAGGAGAGCTGAGCCGATCCCTGTGTGGTACGCAGGCAAAGAGAGGAGAGCAAGAAAACACCTGGCATTCTTCGTGGCGTCCGAGCGTAGCATTTTCACCGCTACCATCAGGGGGCGCCCTTTGCGGATGCTGAGGGGGAAACCCAGGCTCTCCAAATCCTGAGGGCTGTCCACTTCACACAGGTGTACCTGGGGAAAGACACAGGACCTTGTTGGCATCAGTGTGTTCCTTCACCACTGACTTCTTGAAGAATCCAGCTCAGCAACAAAACTGTACTATTCCACTATCAGCTACTTGTCTCTCTATTGGAAAGTTACGGATTCTTGCAACATAGAAGGAAGCCATTCGGCCCATCATGTCCATGTGCACTTCTGCTGTTACTCGCTCTTCCTAGCTGTGCAAATCTTTTTTTTAAATCCTTCTCAAAAGTACTTCAGATTCCGTTCTTGGAAGTCATTTTTGGTTATGGAAGGGGGTTGTTTTCAAACTGGAGGCCTGTGACCAGTGGGGTGCCCCAGGGATCGGTGCTGAGTCCACTGTTGCTCATCATTTACATAAATAATGTGGTTGAGGATTTAGAAGGTATGGTTAGTAAGTTTGCAGATGATACCAATATTGGTGGTATAGCGGTCAGTGAAGAAGGTTGTCTGGGAATGCAGTTAGATCTTAATCAACTGTGCCAGTGGGCTGAGGAATAGCAGATGGAGTTTAATTTTAGATAAATGCAAAGTGTTGCATTTTGGTACGTTAAACTAGGGCAGGACTTACAGAGTCAATGGTAGGGCTCTGGGGAGTGTTATAGAAATAAGAAATCGAGGGGTACAGGTTCATAGCTCCTTGAAAATGAAGTCACAGATAGATGGGGTGGTGAAGAAGGTTTTTGGTACACTTGCCTCATCAGTCAGAGCACTGAGTATAGGAGTTGGGACGTCTTGTTGCAGCTGTACTAGACATTGGTGAGGCCACATTTGGAGTACTGTATGCAGTTCTGGTTGCCCTACTATAGAAAGGATATTATTAAACTAGGAAGAGCGCAGGAAAGGTTTACTAGGATGCCACCCGGACTGGAAGGCTTGAGTTATAAGGAGAGACTGGGACTTTTTTCCCTGGAGCATAGGAGACCGAGGGGTGGCCTTGTAGAGGTCTATAAAATCACGAGAGGCATAGATAAGGTAGATAGGCAACAGCTTTTCCCCAGGGTAGGGGAGTTGAAAACTGCAGGGTATAGGTTTAAGGTGAGAGCGGAGAGATACTAAAAGGGTCCAAAGGGGAAACTTTTTCACACACAGAGGGTGGTGAGTATCTGGAACGGGCTGCCAGAGGTAGCGGTGGAGGCGAGTACAATTTTGTCATTTTGGAAACATTTGGACAGGTACATGGACGGGATGGGTATGGAGGGCCATGGAGCAAACGCAGGCAAATGGGACTAGATTAATTGCGAAAACTGGGCAGCACAGGCTGAAGGGGCTGTTTCCATGCTGCAAACCTCTATGACTATGACTCATATGTTCTTCCAGCACCATTTCAAGTCGTGCATTCTGGATCAGAGCAATTTACTGTGCAAAACGTCTCCTCATTCCATTTCCAGTGCAGCTACCTTCAATCTTGCTGCGGACTGAGACAGTGAACATTACAGTGCCGACTGCAGGGATCTGCTGAGTTTCTCTTGTTTGCATTTATCTTAAGAGGTTTCAGGCAGCTTCTGTTACTGGCACTGCATTGCTATCCGCAATCTCTCTGGGCATGGCCTGACTTACGGAGAAACGCTAAAACCTACAGTTGATGAAAGGCCATGCAGAAGAGTGTAGGAAGAGAGACATGTGGCCGAAACTTTTGTGTCTTCCACTCAGCAGGACGAATGCAATCACAACAATTGACAATACAGAGGGTTGGGTACAATGTGCTGAACCATCCCAGTGCACCTGAAATGTGGCTCAATGATGCTCGCTGGATGCAACATACATTCAGATGCACGGCCCTGTTCTGTGCAAACACGAGGAATTTGGTAAATCCTTGCGCCTTTTCTGAATTACCTCCGAGCTGTGGGAATCTACAGGTCCCTGCTGCTTTCTCCATGTTTTGGCATTTTTGTGCTCGTCCTGATGAATGCAGGACAAAAGCTTCTGCAACTTGTCTCTCTTTTCAGCAATATTCAAAGTTCTGTACTACTGAGCAAACAGGGGGATGTCTACGACCAATCTCTAATGGCCAACGACATGTTGATGATTGCTCAGCCCACTGCATGCATTTCACATACAAGGTACTATCCTCACAGATATGACAGCGGCACGGTGGCTCAGTGGGTTAGCACTGCTGCCTCACAGCACCAAGGACCCGGATTCGATCCCACCCTCGGGTGACTGTCTGTGTGGAGTTTGTACGTTCTCCCTGTGTCTAAGCGGGTTTGCTCCGGTTTCCTCCCACAGGCCAAAGATGTGCAGGCTAGGTGGATTGGCCATGCTAAATTGCCCATAGTGGGTTCAGGGATGATTCAAGGGGAACTGGATGAGTTCCTGAAGGAAAAGGGATATGGGATATGGGATATGGGATATGGGGTGCGGTGGGGCGAGGAAGATTAGGACAGCTCCTTCAAAGGATAGATGCGGGCACGCAGGGCCGAATGGCTTCCTCTGGGCTGTAGGATTTCATGATTCCACTGTGCAAGATCCATTCATGGTTATGATGCAGGCATTCCCAGTGTTCAGTTCTTTGTGTGAAACTCCAACTCATTGCTGCCCCCCCACCAGGATTGTTTGCCAATTACACTCACCTTTCTCCCTGTACTTGTGCCTGGGATTATTCGAAACAATCAACTGGCAAGGAGCCATCCACAGGTCCATTCGCGAAAGATTCAGTTTGATCAAAAATCTCATTCTGATCACCACCAGAAGCTGAAATGGACTAGCAATATAAATACTGAGGCTACAAGAGCAGGTCAGATGATAGGAACACTGCAGAGAGGAACTCACCTCCTGAGTCCCCATCTACAAAGCGCGTGTCAGGTGTGCTATGGTATATTCCCCACTTGCCTGGATGAAAGCAGCCCCAGCAACACTCAAGAAGCTTGACACCATCCAGGACAAAGCAGCCCGCTTGATTGGCACCACATCCACAAACATCCACTCCCTCCACCACCGACGCTCAGTAGCAGCAGCGTGTACTATCTACAAGATGCACTGCAGAAATTCACCAAAGATCCTCAGACAGCACCTTCCAAACATATGACCACTTCCAGCTGGAAGGACAAGGGCAGCGGATACAAGGGAACGCTACCCCCTGCAAGTTCTCCTCCAAGCCACTCACCATCCTGACTTGGAAATATATCGCCGTTCCTTCACTGTAGCTGGGTCAAAATCCTGGAATTCCCTCCCCCAGGGCATTGTGGGCCAACCTATAGCAGGGGGGCTGCAGCAGTTCAAGAAGGCAGGTCACCACCACCTTCTCAAGGGGGTCAATTAGGGATGGGTAATAAACGCTGGGCCCAGCCAGTGATGCCCACGTCCCACCGGTAAATTTAAGACAAAAAAAAAAATCCCCCTTGGCTTACCTCCCCAAACTGGCCCTCCCCCAGCTTCTCTCGGAAAACGAGTCGTTGCCTCGGAAACTCGCCGACGGCGATATCCTTCCCAGCCAGGGCGTCGATAGTGACGGCGGGGACAGCGTAGGTGTTATTCCCCGTGACTCCCTGCAGGTTGATGATGTCTGCCTCGGCGTAATGTGGGACGCTGTTTGGGAATCCTGTCTGGAATGCCACCTTGCTGAGGTCAGGCTCTGCATACTCTCCATTGCAGGCTGGAATTCAAAGGAACAAAAGAAGGAAAAGGAGGGGTAGAGTAGGCGTTCCGACTCCATAACATCACTCCCCAACAACCCCCTCCGCGGCCTGGCTCCGAGACTACGAGCCTCATTCCCATGGTCTCGCTGCCTCGAGATGAAACCACTCTAAATCCATCCCAAATTTCCACCCTGTGTAACCTCGATACCTTCCAAACCTCTGCTGCCCTTGTCTTAACATGCTCTGTTCCCACTGTGCCCCCTCCATCTCTACTGTACTTGCTGATCTCCTCTTCAAGGGAGGGTTTGATTTTAAAATCCTCATCCTGGTTCCCGCATCTTTGCCACGTTCCCCACCTCATCACTTTAATCTCCTCCAGGCATCCCCCATGGAACAGAGTCATGGAGATCAAACAGACCCTTCGGTCCAACTTGTCCATGCCGATCAGATATCCTAAATTAATCTAGCCCCATTTGCCAGCATTTGGCCCATATCCCTCTAAACCCTTCCTATCCATGTACCCAGCCAGATGCCTTTTAAATGTTGGAATTGTATCAGCCTCCACCACTTCCTCTGGCAACTCATTCCATACACGCACCACCCTTTGTGTTAAAAAGCTGCCCCTTATGTCCCTTTTAAATCTTTCCCCTCTCACCTTAAACTTACGCCCTCCAGATTTGGACTCCCCTACCCTGGGGGCAAAAGACTATTCACCCCATCCATGCCCCTCATGATTTTATAAACTTCTATAAGGTCACCTCTCAGCCTCTGACGCTCCAGGGAAATAGACCCAGCCTATTCAGCATCTCCCTATAGCTCAAACCCTCCAACTCCGGCAACATCCTCGTAAATCTTTTCTGCACACTTTCAAATTTCAGAACATCCTTCCTATAGCGGGGAGACCAGAACTGAACACAGTATTCCAAAAGCGGCCTAACCAATGTCCTGTACAGCCACAATATGGCATCCCCACTCCTACACTCAATGCACTGACCAATAAAGGCAAGCGTACCAAATGTCTTCTCCATTACCCTGTCTACCTGCGACTCCACCTTCAAGGAACTATGAACCTGCACCCCAAGGTCTCTTTGTTTGGCAACACTCCCTAGGACTTTACCAGTAAGTGTACAAGTCCTGCTCTGATTTGTCTTTCCAAAATGCAACACCTCACATTTATCTAAATTCAGTTCCCTTTGGTGAGAAATTTGAGCTTTTTCTCAGCGTGGCCTCTTGAGCAACCCAAGATCGAAGTTTTGGCTATGCGCCGTGAGCTCCAGGCTCTGGAGTTCCTTCCCAACACTTCTCTACCTTTGTCTCATCCTTTAAGACTTAATTAGTGGACCAGGCTTTCAATCTTCTGATTCGTATAATCACCTCCTTCTGCAGACGGAGTCAAATCTTATTTGTTAACGTTGGGGGTAGGGGGGGAAGCGGTTGGCTACATAAATGCAAGCTGTTGTTGTTGGGGGGGGTGTGTGGTTGGGGGAAAAGTGTTTGTATCTGTATCTGGGGTCTGATCAGGTAAAACCCCACAGGATGACTATTTTCTCTGGGGGAAGGAATCCAGAATTACTACCACCATGCAGAGTGTTGTAGCACAACAATATTGTTCGGCCCAGTCAGTTTTAGTTGATGTTTCATCCCAAGCCTTCTCTGAACCCTCTTCACCTAACCACGTCAACGTAGCCCCTGTCACTGTCTCTGTCTCCCCCTCCCCCTCCCCCCCTACCCCGCTCTCCTCCCCCCAACAACCCCAACCCCTCAAAGAGATGTTTCCGAACCTCTGGACTGAGAATTAGGTTGAGAATTCAGGCTGATTTGCCCTGGCTGTGAGTCAAGAGCTTTACGCTATTGCAGTGGGATGCTTCCAGGAGGTGAATTTTCCACCAAATGACACTGTATTTACGCTACAGTAAGAGGCCATTTATCCTGACAGCTCTATGCCTGTATTTTATGTTCCACACAAGCCTATTCCCTCTTGAGTTCCCTCGCCTTATGTGCACAGACCATAGGGCAGGCCAACCCCCTACTCTGTAACACTCGTGTACAGTTTGTAAACTATTGAGAATTGAACCTAAAAGCATACGATCCACGGACTTTAAGAGAAAATGCAACACGCAGTCCACTTTTAATTGTTATTCTGCAAAATAAGGAGAGCCGCATTTTGCAACTGAACGTAGTTACCCGCAAATTGAAATGTTCATAATTTTACAAGACATTTTACTATTCTGTGTTAACAAGGTGTAGAGCTGGATGAACACAGCAGGTCAAGCAGCATCAGAGGAGCAGGAAGGCTGACGTTTCGGGCCTAGACCCTGTGTTGGTTTTATTTTTAGTGACGGTCTGGAGCCAAGTTGTGAATTACAACGCCTTGATTTCTTTGCAAGATCATCACAATTTGGCGCCCCATCGCCACCACGACGATCTTCCAACAAACCACCGATCTGTCCCTCTATCGATCGGGGTAGCACTGTGCGGTGCGAATGTTTCTGGATGAGCGGATGCTCTCGGGCAATGAGGTCACATCACACTGCAGCTTCTGAGTGGGTTAAGTTCAATTCACAAAATAAATCAATCTAGAGGGAACGGTTGGTCGGTTGCCGTGAACCTACTGGATTGTCAATAAAAGCCCATCAGCTGTCAATGTCTGGTCTGGCTACTCAGTAAAGCATCAGACCCTTCACTCCACTCAGAAATGGTTCTCCCAACTGCCTTGGCTATCGTCAGGGCAATGAGGGGTGGTCTTGCCAGAGAAGCTTAAGACCCGTGAATAATAATGATAATTAAGTAGGATCAATTGCATTCTTAAAAACAGCCATTTTATTTCTTTAGCCCTCATGGGCCTCTCTAACTTCCCAGTACCAAGGTCGAAGAATGAGTCAATGTAATTATAAAATGAAGACTTGGTTGTTCATGAAGGAAGTTGCCAATGACCCGGGGGCGCTAGGGACCAGGGTCATTAGGACTGCGATGTTTTCACACACAGAGAGAGGTGAGCATATGGAATTCCCTACACAGAAAGCAGTCCCTGCCAAAACATTATATGATTTCAAGTAAGTGATGGCGAAAGGGGAGAAGCAGGAACAGGGGTCGGATGATAAACAGCGATCATAGTGAATTGGCCAAGCAGAATTGAGGGGCCGAATGGCCTACTCTTGCTCCTACTTTCTACGTTTGGCGGCCTTCTGGGACAGGCCTGAGCGCAGCTAAGAGCCGACCCTGCTCCTGCGGGTCTCGAGTCACCTGAAGGCCAGGCCAGGTCAGGACATTTACTTCTCCAAAGGTAACGGCGGGTTCCATCAGGTGGCTGCCTGTTTCCTCTTCCGTTCGGACGGCGTTGGGACGACTCAGTGAGAAAGGGCGGCTCCAGAAATCCCATCTTATAGAGCACAGCAAGAACAGCAAAGAAGGATCGAGAGACAGGGTGCTGCACAGAGTCACAAGGCTGAGGCCAGATCTGAGACTTTCGAACAATCAAGAAAGGATAAGCAGTTTGGGGCTCTCTTCTTGGGCAAAGAGAAGGCCGTGAAGTGACTTTTGAGAAAATGGAAAGGTCGATGGAACGCATGCACAGACAGATCTTTCAAGACGGGGGCTGGGCGGAAGTCCCGATTGAAAGGCAATGAATATACGATGGTCTCTAATATATGCAGCAAGAAATTCTGCAGAAACAGGCTTCATTGGAGAGAGCTGCAAGAAAGAGTCACTGAGGCAAGGACAAACAGAAGGAAGGAATGGAGGGTTAAGCTGGTGGGGTAGCACAACGTTACGTGGGAGCAGGCTCACACAGAGCAGCAACACACTGGTACACGCCAGTTGGGCCGAATGGCCTGCTTCCCTGGAGTACATTCCGTGCAGTCTGTAGATTTTGGACGCCGTGCACGCAAGTTTCCTGCCACTGTGAAGTGAAATGCAAAAAGGGTGGGACCTAGGCTGACTAGGAGTCATTGACACTACTCCTGGAACAGTCGCCTTCAGCGATGGCCGGAAAGCGACTCACGTTGCTGAGGTCTTTCGTCTTTAACTCATCAGGACACACACAAGAATGCCACAACAGAGTGGGAAAGTGTGTGCCTGGTTGGCAGAATGGCTCAGACTGGCCGAGGCGTTGCCAAATGCAAACAAGAAGCTACAGGCTCCCTTAGCTCCCGGGCAATTCAACACAAGCGTACTGAGTGCACTAACAGTGAGACCAGCAACCAATTCAGTATAAGAAGTCAGCCTCATGGCTTGGCTTGCTGGAAGAGATGCACATTAGCAGGGGCTCGAGCGGAGTAGTTCAAGCCGTGCACCTTTCTGTTTTGGGAGCTTGGAGCGCTTAGGACTCCCCATCGGCAAAGTCATTGCCTGGAGAAAGCAAATCAGAGCTGACTTGCCAACCTGCTCACTGCATTCTCATTCGACAGTATAAAGTGTTGAGATTTGACATTCTTGTGTCTTATCCTGATGAACGACAGATTTGGCGACATATCACCATTTCCAGCAATATTTGTGAAACATTGCTAGCTCCCCTCTGGTAGCTTTGCCTGTACTTTTGAACGTTGGAACCACACGCTGTTTTATAGGTTATGCTTGGATAAGATCGAAGGCAGCAGATACTTACTGGTGGACGTCATCCCGATGGCCAGCAGCTTAAACTAATTCTACTTTTTAATGACTTCTCCGTCCATCCCGAAGTCAATGATGGCTACTTTTGTGGTAAGTTTCACCTAATTCATTGGGCTGGCCTCCCAGGGGATTCACGGCAGACTAGGGAGGTTCAACGTGCCCACTGCAAATCCAGTGGCATAGACGTGGCATAGGTGCAAGCCTAGCCCAGCAGGTAGCTGTTCTTTGATACCAAGTGAAACAAGGCATCAGGCCGGGCCTATAACGGGTGTCCAATGAGCTACTGCTGGTGACCTTCCGACGCCACTTTCAACTCCGCTGCCCTCCGCGACATAACCCAGGCCCCTGCACATTTTCGCAAGGTCCACTGCATAGTCTACAAACCCTTTTCTATCAGTCGTACAACTTTCACCATTTTATGGCTGATAGCTCTAGCTAGGCCTCAGCTGTATGTGCTGGCCTGAGGGAACACTCCTCCGATAGCATTGAGGGGGATATCAGTGAGGTTATGTATGATTACTCAGGGTGCACAGCTTAGCAATGGGCCATTTGTTTTCACTGCCCAGAGTTTTCACTCTATCCCATTCTCACCTTTTCAGATTTAAATACACCATCGTAACCTTCTATTCCATTCCCCCACCACACACCAACCGAGTTTCCTCTGCAACTCAGCTACACTGATTGCTTCCACAACTCTCTGCAGTAAGTTCCACATAGACTCATACAGCATGGAAACAGACCCTTCGGCCCAACCAGTCCATGCCAGCCACAATCCCAAACCAAACTAGTCCCACCTGCCTGCTCCTGGCCCATATCCCTCCAAACATTTCTTATTCAGGTACTCATCCAAATGTATTTTAAACATTATAACTGCACCCACATCCACCACTTCTTCAGGAAGTTCATTCCACTCGCGAACCACTCTCTGTGTGTAAAAAAATAATTGTCCCTCATGTCTTTTTAAAATCTTTCTCCTGTCACTTTAAAAATATGCCCCCTAGTTTTGAAATCCTCCCCAACCCTGGGGAAAAGACACCTTATCCATGCCCCTCATGATTTTATAAAACTCTATAACGTCGCCTCTCAACTTCCTACGCTCCAGGGAACGAAGTGCCAGCCCCTCCTTATAACTGAAACCCTCCATTCCCGGCAACATCCTGGTAAACCCTCTCCAGTTTAATAATATTCTTCCTATAACAGGGCGACCGAACTGCACGCAGTACTCCAGAAGAGGCCTCAAAATGACATCCCAACTCCTATAGGCCTCAACAATGAAGGCGAGCAATTCTCACTACTCTTTCGATAATGGAAGGTGGCAGGCAGGAGAGAATGAATGATGGGCTAATTAAACAGAGAAAACGGCGATGGGGCAAGTGAAGGAACAAAGATAGACGAGATGCGTTGCTGCCTGAAAGCAAAAAAGTAGAGAAAACAGAACCGAAACACGTAAGGAAAAAGAAACAAAATGGTTGGAAAAAGAGATAATGGCCCAAAATTATGAACACCCAACTGAGTCTGGAAGGCTGTAACACACCTAGCTGGATGTGATGCTGTTTCTGAAGCTTATGTTGGTCTTCGTTGGTGCAGTTCAGCAGTTCAAGCACGGGGGTGAGCGAGGTCGAGAGTTAAAAATGACCGAAATACAGGGTCGTGCTTGCAATCTGCGCGGAGCTGTTGCGCGAAGTGGTCAGCCAGGCTGCATTTGATCTCATGGGAGAGACAGCAAAGAGGAGCGGGAGCAGTGAAAGAGGTGCACGCAGATTAGTGGTTCAGCTGGCAGGAGCCTCAGATGATGAGGGGAGAGAGCGAAGGCGAAAGGGAAAGCGTTACATCTCATGGGAAGGAGAGGGCGCGTGCGGCAGTGGCTCGCAGGTGGGAGTGAAGTAAACGGCCTGTTGAACGTGGAGGCTGGTGGGGAGGGAAGTGAGGCTAAGGAGAACTTCAGCATTGTTCCGGGGAGGAGGACAAGGGCTGGGTACCAAAGTGTAGGAAACACGAGGGATACAGTCAAGATCTCTTTAAAGGAGGGTGCGGAGGGGGAGTGGAATTCTCAACTAGGGAGAGAAAAAGCCTTCTCATTAACTCAAGGGTGAAAAACTGCATTGTGAGGGCGGATGTGATGGACACAGAGTCACAAATATATACAACACAATGGCCTAGTGGTATTGTCGCTGGACTGTTAATCTCTGGTATTGTTCTGGGGACCTAGGTTCGAATCCCGCCACGGCAGCTAGTGGAATTTGAGTTCAATAAAAAAAATCTGGAATTAAGAATCTAATTTACCGATTGTAGGGTTGGGAAAACCCATCTGGTTCACTAACATCTGGCCTACATGTGACTGCAGACCCACAGTAATGTGGTTGACTCTTAACTGCCCTCTGGGCAATAAATGTTGGCCTGGCCAATGACATCCTCATCCCATGAATGAATTTAAAAAAAACAACAGACCCTTCGGCACAATTCATCTGTGGCGGCTAGATTTCCTAAACTGAACTACTTGCATTTGGCCCATGTCCCTCTAAACCCTTTCCCATCCATGTACCTGTTCAAATGTCTCTTAAGCGTTGTCACTGTACCAGCCTCTGCTACTTCCTCTGGCAGCTCATTCCATACACGCACCACCCTCTATGTGAAAAAGTTGCCCCTCAGGTCCCTTTTAAATCTTTCCCCTCTCACCTTAAACTTATTCCCTTTAGACTGTCTTGGACCACTGCCACCACACCACCCCCCCCACCCCGCCCCAACCTACCCTGGGGAAAAGATCTTTGCTATTCACCCGATCCACGATTTTATAAACCTCTTATGAGGTCACCCCTCAGCCTCCGATACTCTGGGGAGAAAAGTGGAGGAACCGAGAGAACGGAACTGAATCCTGACAGGGAATGGGGCACGAGGAAGCTACGTGAGTAACCACCTTCACTCAAAAACCCATTACATCACTAAGGTGTGATGCAGGGTTAGAAACCTGAAATAAAACACGGAACAAAAACAGAAGTTGCTGGAAAAGCTCAGCAGGTCTGGCAGCATCTGTGAAGGAAAAATGAGAGTGAACGTTTTGGGTTCGGTGACCCTTCCTCAGAACTGATTTTTTTCTTCACAGATGCTGCCAGACCTGCTGAGCGTTTCCAGCAACTTCTGTTTTTGTTCCTGATTTACAGCATCCACAGTTCTTTTGGTTTTCAGTTAGAAACCTGAAATGTTCATTCTGTTTCTCTCTCCACAGATACTGCATAGCCTGCTGAGCATTTTCTGTTTCTTGTTTGAGATTTCGAGACTAAGATGAGGCCCTGGTCTGAGTGAACGTGCCCAGACTGTTATTGGACGTTAAGTATCTACAGAGATGGTGATTATACAAAATATTTCCATTTTACTGGAGTCCAACAGACCCAGACCCCAGTTCCATCTGTTCAGGGATGTGTAGATTAGGTGGGTTATAGGGGGATGGGTCTGGGTGGGATGTTTTAAGGTCAATGTTGGGACTTGTTGGGCTGAAGGGCCTGTTTCCACACTGTAGGGGTTCTATGAAGTAATACAAGGACATGTCGTGGAATCCCTACTGTGTGGAAGCAGGTCATTCGGCCCATTCAGTCTACACTGACTCTCGGAAGAGCATCCCACCCAGACCCAGACCCAGACCCACCACCCCCGCCACCCCCACCGACACCCCACCCTATTACTGTAGCCCTGCATTTCCCAGCCGAGCCTTCACATCCCTGGGCACTATGGGCAATTTAGCATGGCCAATCCAACTAGCCTGCTCAACTTTGGACTGTGTGAGGAAACCGGAGCACCCGGAGGAAACCCACACAGACACGGGGAGAATGTGTAACCTCCACACAGACAGTCGCCTGAGCGTGGTGTCGAACCCGGGTCCCTGGCGCTGTGAGGCACCGGCGCTAGCCACCGTGCCTAAAATATGCCACCTCACATTTATGTGTGTCAAGCTTTATTTGCCAAATCGGTTGTCCATTCTGCAGGTGTACCACCTGTAATTGCCTCAGACCCCTTCCATATTGACTGCACTCCTCTCCACCCCACCTCAGTTTGGTGTCATCTGCAAACTTAGAACGTGTGTTTTTGGTTCCAGAGATGAAAGGATGAGTGCACATTGTGAACAGCTAATTGTGACGGTCTCACTGCTAGCCACTCTTGCTAACAGTAGAGAGAAGGCTGGCTTATGATTTAATCTTTGTTAAGACAGGAAATGCCACTTAGCCCTTATGGCTTTGCCCCTGCTCTACGATAGGTTTCACTGTTAACAGGGCCATCAGATTTGTGGCTGAGCATTAAGTTCGAAGGCTCAGGATAGGATAGAACTTCAGTTTTACACCCCCCTACCCCTGCACTGTTCAATATCATTCTCCGTCGTTTTCAATAAATAATATTAAAGAATAAAATTGGGTTATCCAGTCAGCTTCATGTCGGGTTTTAAAGAGATGTCAAGATATTAAATCCCTACAGTGCAGAAAGAGGCTATTTGGCCCATCAAGTCCACACTCTGAACAGCAATGCCACCCAGACTCAGCCCTCTACCCTATCCCTGTAACCCTGCATTTCCCATGGCTAACCCATCCAGCCTGCACATCCCTGGACACTATGGGGCAATTTAGCCTGGCCAATCCACCCTTACCTGCACATCTTTAGACTATGGGAGGAAACCCACGCAGATACGGGGAGAATGTGCAAACTCCACACACAGACAGTTGACCGAGGGTGGAATCGAACTCGGGACCCTGGCGCTGTGAAGCAGCAGTGCTAACCCATTGAGCCGCCCTAATGCGACAGCAAGTCAGAAGTCAAGGGGAGCACACCTCATACAAGTGGGTCATCGCAACCTCCAACGTTTCCCCTCCTCCCCAACATGGCTGCCAATTGACCACCATTCTCTCCCCGCTGCCCCCGCCCCTTCCCCCCCCCCCCCCCCCCCTCGCTCAAGCCCCACCCAAATGCCATCCCGACCTGGCGAGGTCCTTACCGTCAGTGTTGATTGGCTTGACCTGGTCCAAAGTGCAGCCAGGGCCTCCAATCAGGTGACGGTTTGCAGAGAGCAAAAGGTGATAGGCTGGGTTGCTTAACAGGAGAGCTGTCGGAGAGGAGGGAATACAATAGGGCGGAGATGAACAAACCAGATGGACGAGCACAAACAACAGGATGGAGCGGCACAAAACGCAGGGAGGGCCGGGCGGGTGGGGAGGAAGGGATGATGGGAAAACGGCACAATGATATGGAATTCCCATGGAGAGCTCTCCCCTCCACCCCACCCCCCGCCTAACAGATCTCCATCTGCCCCTAGGCGACCCTTTCTCATGAAGCCAACGCTGCCACCTCTCTCACAAGCTATCAAGGTCCATGGATCTGGGGAGAGCAGCTAACCACGAGGCCTTCACAGCGTTAACAGGCAATTCAAGATTCAGGGAATAGTTGACTCAACCACATCGATACCGATACAGAACAGGTCGCGTAGAAACAGCCCCTGATCTCTGGAGGTGTGAATGCTCCACGGGAGACTTCATCCAACCGTCTCTAACCAAAACCATCGCCCACCCCCCACACCCGCACTCACCCAAGAAGCACACGGTCTGGCTAGTGATTTGGGTAAGGTTGGCTGAGATCAGAAAGCTAAGATTGACAATCGCAAAGGTAATGGTGAAGGGAAGCCGGAAACAGGTGAGGATTTGGAACGGTCCACTTCATCGCCTTTTCTATGCAATGTCTCCAGGTTCACGACCACATTGGGTGTGACAGAAAGCTGTGGGGATGGCCAAAGAGACTGGAAACATATGTACAGGCTCAGGAAGTGGGCAAGCAATTCACGAGGAGGAATGTGCAGCCGGGATTTGCTAACTGACTCAGCAACGTATTAAAAAATCCCCATTCCCTGCCCAGTCCACATTTCCAGACCCAGTGAGGTTTTATCCCTCAGGGAGAGCTGCTTTCTGATTGGATGTCATGACATTGCAACATGAAAGTACTGAGCATTAACAGAAGTTTGCTCCATCATCTACTTTGCTGTGTGCATCGTGTGATGGATACATGAACAGAAAGTGTTTAGAGGGACGTAGGCCCAATGCTGGCGAATGGGACTAGATTTGTATAGGATATCTGGTCAGCATGGATGAGTTGGACCGGAGAGTCTGTCTCCATGCTGTAGGGCTCAATGACTCTAATTATATATAAAACATTGGCAGATGGAATATAATGTGGTGAAATGTGAAGAAGGAAGGAAAAAACAGAATGTTTAGGTTTAAAATGGTGAGAAATTATTGAATATTTTTGTCCAGGGCGTGTTAGGCTGATACTTTGCACAAATATCAGAAAGTTAACACGATGGTAAACCCAAAAAATAGGAGGACAGATTGTTTCATACGTGGAATGAACTGCCTGAGGAAGTGGTGGATGCAGGTACAGTTACACTTTTCAAAGACATTTGGGCAGGTACATGAGTAGGAAACGTTCAGAGGGATATGGGCCTTACGCAGGCAAACGGGACTAGTTCGGTTTGGGAAACCTGGTCAGCATGGACGAGTTGGACCGAAGGGTCAGTTTCTGCGCTGTACGACTCTGTCATGTGGAAAACCCCAGAGACTTCAACCGCAGGCAGTATCGGGTGGTCTAGACTGTTTTGAGGTCGTGCCCAAATTCCTTTCTCCACCCCACCCTCCCTATCCGAAACCTTCCTGAGCCCAGTTGAAAAGACCTCCATAGCCACCACAACTCTGGGAGTGGAAATTTATTACAGCTATCACAACATCTGTCCATTTTACACCCCACTCGATATTCATGGAGGTGACTTCGATCCGAATCAAATACTGGAGTGGGCGCGCAGCAAAGCAACTGATATGATACCATCTCGATCATAGCCGAGACATCTCCTACCCTCATGAATTCAAAAATTCAAGAACATTCCTCAGCTTTTATTATTTGTTTGTGAACAGAAGCGTTTTTTGAATTACAGCCTGATTTATTGTAAATTGGTCTTCGCCTGAATGCGATAATTACAAGTGGATTATTTACAGGTTCAAATGCACTTTAACATTGGAGGCAATGACCAGACAAGTAATTAGCCCCCGTAACGTGCAGGGTAGATTGATTGACAGCTCATGGAGGTTATTAAAGGATTAGCTATGTGCGGTACGGTGTAATGAATCACAAAAAGTTGGCTTGTAGGTAATTAAGCAGGCATTTGGTATATTGCCCATCATTGCTAGAGGGATGGAGCATAAAAACAGGAGACGTTATGCTACAGCTGTACAAGGTGTTGGTGAGGCCACACCTGGAGTACTGAGTACAGTTTTGGTCTCCTTACTTGAGAAAGGATGTACTGGCACTGGAGGGGGTGCAGAGGAGGTTCACTAGGTTGATTCCGGAGTTGAAGGGGTTGGCTTATGAGGAGAGATTGAGTAGACTGGGACTGTAGTCATTGGAATTTGGAAGAATGGGGCGGGGGGATTAGGGCGGCACGGTGGCTCAGTGGTTAGCGCTGCAGCGCCAGGGACCCGGGTTCAATTCCACCCTCGGGCGACTGTCTGTGTGGAGTTTGCACATTCTCCCTGTGTCTGCGTGGGTTTCCTCCAGGTGCTCCGGTTTCCTCCCACAGTCCAAAGATGTGCTGGCTAGGTGGATTGGCCATGCTCAATTGCCCGTAGTGTTCAGGGATGGATAGATTAGGTGGGTTATACAGGTTGGGTCTGGGTGGGATGCTCTGAGAGTCAATGTGGGCTTGTTGGGCCAAAGGGCCTGTTTCCACACTGTAGGGATTCTATGATTCTATGATCTTGTAGAAACATTTAATATAATGAAGCAAATAGATAAGACAGAAGCAGGGAGGTTGTTTTCACTGGCGGGTGAAACTGGAACGAGGGGGCATAGCCTCAAAATAAGAGGAAGCGGATTTAGGACTGAGTTGAGGAGGAACATCTTCACCCAAAAGGTTGTGAATCTATGGAATTCCCTGCCCAAGTGAAGCAGTTGAGGCTACCTCGTTGAATGTTTTTAAGGCAAAGATAGATTTTTGAACAGTAAGGGAATTAAGGGCAATGGTGAGCATGTGGGTGAGTGGAGCTGAGTCCACAAAAAGATCAGCCATGATCTTATTGAATGGTGGAGCAGGCTCGAGGGGCCAGATGGCCCGCTCCTGCTCCTAATTTTTATGTTCCTCGGTTATGAACACAAAGGTGTTTGTTTTTACAAGGAATTAAGTACTTGACAGGATTTTAAAGTTTTGAATGGGCTCTTGTTCATGAGTTTCAGGAGGTTTTTTTTTAAATACAGTGAAGGCTGTAACGGAAATTGAGTCTTTACCACATTTGATCACAACGGGGATCTTGTGGACCTTGCAAGACTGAGATTATTAGATTTTTGTTGGACCGGGGGTGTGGAAGATTTGTGGAGTTGAGGGGATAGATCAGCCATGAGTTGAATAAATGGCAAAACGTGTTCAAGAATCTGAACAGCCTCCTCCTGTTTCTGAGATCTTGTTGTACATAAGTTTATACGATTAAATATTCCATTCCAGAGAGAAGCCTAACTACTACTTGGTTCATGAACTCGCTTAATTAAAATTTACAATGCAAATGAACAAGGTAAGCCATGAAACTCAATAAAGAGAAACAACAGGCCAAAAGCATTGTTGGCATTTGACACGCAACAAAAGCAGAAAGCAGAGGATTGAGGTTGAAAGTAATTCCTCAGAAGGGCATAAGGTGGGAAGTTGCAATCCATCAGGATCAATGCAGGAAGTACGGTCGTTCACCATTTACATAAACAATTTGAAATGGGTATCAGAAGTACAATTTTAAGATTCACAGATGACACCAAACTGGAGGATGCAGCTTTGTAGGGGATTGGGGGACAAAATACAGGGAAGCACTGGGAAAAACACCTCCCAGAATGGTCATGTAATAACTGGAAAGTTAACTTCAACGCAAGTTAATTGTGAGGTGGGACATCTTGGGGAAATTGGAGCTGCTCTCTCCATCGCTGTGACTGAATGGAGTAGAGGAACCGGGTAGAGACAGGCATCTCTAGGGGATATAGAAACTCAAACCACTAAACACAGGATAACAAGATCAGAATATTCGATGAACGAGTATTGGTCCTTGTTTCTGGAGGCACAGAATTGAAAAACAATTAGATTAAGCTGGTAGCGCTGGTAGAATTTGAATATTGCTTAAAAGAGAGTTGTGTACCCATCCTTCACTCACACAACAACATGTTCCTCTGAGATAGTAAGAACTGCCGATGCTGGAGTCAGAGATAACACAGTGTGGAGCTGGAGGAACACAGCAGGCCGGGCAGCATCAGAGAAGCAGGAAAGTTGACATTTCGGGTTGGGACCCTTCTTCAGAAACTTCCTCTGGCTGTTTGTCAGAGGTGGTGTTTAAGCTGTATTCAACCAGCTCGCCCTTGCAAAAACCCAACACATCTACGATTAATGTGCAACTGGACAGCACTTGTTAAACAGTCCCAAGTGCACCAATGGCTAACAACTGATTTAAGACAATCGCTCAGCTGATTACAGAGCTCAATTGTGGCTGCCAGACAGGACATGCATTCAGAAACAGGAACCTGTTCTTTCCAAACAATAGAAAATGCACCTTTCTTTGAACTACTCAGGAAATTGGAGAAACCTTACTGTTCCCTATTGCTTTTTCCATGGCAACACCTCAGCCAATCAGAGCCAGCTTAACCAAATCAGTACCCTTCTCTCCTGTAATGTAAATTGTTGCAATTGTTTGAAATTTGGTCTTCTTGCATTTGTCCTGATGTTTGCAAGATGGATAGCTTCTACAATATGACTATCTTTTCAACAATGATAATGCAAACCTGTCATAAAAGGAATAGAGAGGCACAACAGACAATGAAAAGAGAATAATACTAGAATTGAACATTTATGTATATCAAGGTGGGACTGTACAGGTCTTTAACGTTGTGAAAGGGTTTGACAGAGTAGGCATAAAGGATATGTTCAAACATTCAGGGAGAACCTGAAGCCATAAATTAGTGACTCACTTAATAAATCCAATTAGGAACTCAGGAAATACCTCTTGCTGGCCATATCCAGCAAATGGTGAAAATGTGGACCACTAATATCAAGTCAAGTCGCCAAAGTATTACCAAACCATAGGGCTGCTCTCTCAAGAAAGAGAGAGAGAGCGAGAGAGACAGCGAGAGAGAGAATGAGAGAGACAGTGAGACAGCGAGAGAGAGTGTGTGAGAGAGAGAGAGAGAGAGTGAGGAGAGAGAGAGAGAGAGAGAGCGAGAGAGAGAGAGCGAGAGAGAGACAGAGAGACAGAGTGTGTGAGAGAGAGAGAGAGAGTGAGAAGAGAGAGAGAGAGTGAGAGAGAGTGTGTGAGAGAGAGAGAGAGTGAGGAATGATGGTGATTTAACCTGAGGGTCACCACACGCTAGGTGAGGGGAGAGAGGTAACCAGTGTGGAGATTGAATCCACGCTGTTGGCATCCCTCTGCTTTGCAAACCAACTGAGCTCAACTGACCCCCGACGACCACCAATATAACTTGGCGGGGGGGAGAATGGGCCGGATAAATTCTAATGAAAGTTAGGACAGGTACAAAACTGACCAGGAGGCAGGGAACTCCATGCCCGAGAGACTGATTCGATTTCGTTAATCCACTGGGATTTTCAATCCACTCCTGTCCAGGTGCCCACCACACGCAGTCACCGATTCACAACTCGCATTAACGCAGCTATGGGTCTGGAAATACGCTTCACGTATCCGATACATCACAGTTTCGCTCTCGCCCTACCCCAGTGTCCTCGAACATGGTTTGTGAGCTCAGGAGGCCTACCTACATAATGCACTCAACAGCCTTTCAAAACCTTCTGTAGGCAGATCCCACTCCTGACTGGACCAGCCGTCTTATTGTGTGGGCAGTGCATTATCAAGGTCAACTCAGCTTCCCATAATTAATAATCGCTAATCTCAGAAGCCGCCCAACCTCTGTATCATAACGGCAAACTTGATAGTGGGCAGGGAGGTGGGCAGGCTTGGCACCCTGCCCCATTTTATGCCCACCTGCCGAATTGGCAACCTGCAGAGGGCACTGCATACCCAGCCCAAGGCTCCTGTATCCACTAGATCATAAAGGAAAATTCATTCACGGGATGTGGGCATCGCTGGGCTGGGTCGGCGTTTATTGCCCCATGCCCGGCTGCCCCCGAGAAGGTGGCGGCGAGCTGAAGCCAACAGGCCAGAGCCGAGGGGCCGAATACTACCGAAAGGTCAGCTCAGGGCCGGGGGCTTTTGCTGCTACTCACCTAATTCTGCACGCACCGTGCCTCTACAGTGCCTCCGGCTGGCCAGCAGCACACATGCTCGTGGCTGGGTTTTCCATCACCAGCGCCATTCCCAAAAAAAAATTAATTCATTCCTAGGTCACTGGTTACCTCAGCATTTATTACCCGGTGGGGGGGGGGGCGTAATTTAAGAGTCAACCACATTGCTTTTGGGTCTGAAGTCACAGGTAGGCCCAGACCCAGGTAGGGATGGCAGTTTCCTTCCATAAAGGAAATTAGTGAACCAGATGGGTGCTTTATATCCCCCTGATGATTGACAACGGATTCATGGTCGTCATTAGATTTTTTTTTAAACTCAATTCAGACTCCACTATCTGCCTTGGTGGGATTTGAACCAGGGACCCAGGGTGGATGAACAGTCCAGCAATAATACCGTCAGGCTGTTGCCTCCCCTGTAGGGCATGGCACAACGCCAAAGGAGGTGGCAGAGAAAGGGAAATTGGCACCTGGAGGTCACGGGTGGATAGGGTGAAGGAGTGGTGGGCCACCCTCTTTCTTCAGGGGGTAGCCGCTGTGTCAGGCCCTGCCACCTGGTCCTACGCTGCCAACCGACTCTGTACTGTGTCGCTGGGGGACGCCCAACAGTCCTGAAGGCTCCATGGACAAGTTGGTTGGTTGGGTCCCCTGTCAATGAGAGCTCCAGCGCCTGCCGGATATGCGCTCGGACTGGCACTCCCATTGCAGTGCCCCCCACCCCCCTCAGCAGGTTTAATGACCTACCGTGCCTCAGTGGGGGGAATGCCACTACCTCCTCTCTCTCTCTCTCTCTCTCTCCCCACTGCTACCTCAGGCCCATCACCCTTCCCCATATCTGCCACTGCACCCACCCACCACCAAGACTCACGAGTGACCGCCTCCGCCAGTCCAATGTCTTCATACACCTTGCCTCATTCCCCGCATGCCCTCTACGCTTCCTGCTCCCTCGTTCAGGGCCACCTCCTCCCCACCCCAGTGCTCGAGCCAGCACTACGGGCAGTGCCAGTCACTTTTCCTCTCACTCATTCCAGGTGGAACCAGCCGACGGTAGGATAGGGAGGGCGATAGGAAGGAGGGGGGGTGGTTCACACCCTCGCCATCTCCTTTAGCAGGAGAGGATGGCGAGTGCTCCAAGCGTAAGCCCAAAGCTCTATTCTGATTTCCCTCCTCATTCTCTTGCTCTCTCTCGCCTCCTGCAGGCGCCGGTGGTGTCTGCACTGAAGAGAACTGCGACCTCCCCCAACCACCAACCCAACATCATCTGAGGAGGGAGGCACGTATCCCTCTCTCTGACATCTTCCAACAGGCCCGACGCTGGCACCTCGCTATAGCTACTTTTCGAGAGTGACTCCGGAAGTCTCCTTGGACGAGTTGGCCAGTTGGCGTTTGCCATGGGCAGCGAGTCCCGGCACCCACAGCGCCCGCCGCATACGTGGTCAGACCTGAACTCCCACCGTAGAGCCCGCCGGTGGTCAGCAGCAAAAGGGGAAGGGGCCTTGACTTCACTCCTTCCTTCCTTCCTTCCTCACCAGGAGATGGGGGCAATGCCAGTTGAGTGGGAATCACAAATGGGTCACCTCTCCGCCCAGAAGTCTCAATCTCTGTCTCTCTCTCTCCCTCTCGGGACCCTCAATAACTGTCTCCCCACCGCCCCTTCCTCCCCCCACCTCCGTTCCGCCTGTGACCCTCAACTCCTGCCGTAGGTGCTGCCATTCTCGCCAGGATGCCCTCTAACCACGGATCCCCCCCCCAACACCCCAGGCACCCCTCCCCCAATCTCCAGGGGGCAAAACCTCCAAGGCTCCATTGAGGTACTCTCCAGCTCCAGCCCAGCTCCAGAAGCGGATACTGCACCGAGCGGGAGGGAAGAGGAGGAAGGAAACCTTCTGAGGGCACATCAATAGCACAGGAGAGCCCTCATGGTAAATAGGATATGTACGTTGATGAAGCTGAAGCGGTCCCCGTGTGAACATAGTGACCCCCACCAACCCTGGACAATATCCAGGTTCGGGCCAACAAGCGGCAAGTTACATTCTGTGCCTCTTTCAGTCTTCCACCCCTGACCCCATTCGGATAAGTCTCTCCTCCCTCCCTCTCAGAGCCCTGACGTCTCTCCTGAAGGATGGTGCGCAGAACAAGCCAAAACCTAGGATGGCGTGGTGACTCAGTGGGTTAGCACTGCTACCTCACAGCGCACGGGACCCGGGTTCGATTCCAGCCTTGGGCCACTGTCTGTGTGGAGTTTGCATGTTCTCCCCTGTGTCTGCCTGCTTTCCCTCTGCGTGGCCAATGGTTCAGATTTGTGCAGGTAAGTGGACTGGCCGTGCTATAGCGCCCAGGGTTGGTGAGGTGGCTGCGGGTGGGAGGGCCAGTGTGGTCTCGATGGGCTGCATGGCCTTTCCCCTACAATGTAGGGATTCCACACCATGAGCGAGGGTTAAACTGGTGCATTTTAGGGTTTATTGCGACCAGCCTGCATTTTATACGAGTCACCTCTCGGATGAACCCCATGTTAGGAAGCATGCGCTTAATCATATTAGTCATCCTGACTGGCCACTGGTCACCCTGTCCCGTGCATTTGAGTAGCACCTTTAAACAAAATGTTCTCTTCACAGGAGCACAGTGAAACCGAAATACAGCGTTGAGGCTCCATCAGGAGATGGTCAGACAGTCGATATCTTTAGGCCAGAAAAAAAAAGGACAGGTTCCGAGAAATGTCTTAAAGGAGGAGAGTAAAGTGGAGGCAGAGAGAATTAGGAAGGACATCAATGAAGTAAAACAAGACGGTAAAAAAAAGTTCAGGCACTAAAGGGGGCCATTCAGCCCTCAAATTCCTTGGTCCTTTCAACGATACCTTGGCTGATCTCTGTCTTAAACGCTGACCTCACCGCCCCCCAACAAGTCTTGGGTGTGTAATCTAGCCTGACAAGTATCTTATCAATAACGGTCATGATTGAAACTCCTCCCCACCCAACCAGCTTCGGAGGGAGAGATCCAGATTTCCACAGCCCTACGGGGTCTGAGGAAGAGACTTCGAATGTTAAGGTCGTTTGTCTCTGAGTTGGAGATTACCGCTCATTCTGCCCAGTCCCAGCAGAGGGAGCAATTACTCCCCAGCTACCCGAACAAATTTTCCGAGCTCATTAACGGCGCGAAAGGGCCTTGTTAACCTGTCGATACGAAGGAAGGAGAAGGAGGGTAGCTCCTCCAGAGTCTTGGCCTCCCGCTCGCCTCTTTACGGGAGCCATCAGAGCAGAATCGGCGGGCACTGAGCCGATTTCTCGCAGCCAGCACCGCCCCCTCCCACCCCTCCACCAAATCCCCCAGCTCTCTGCTCCTTCGCGCCTTACCCGTGCCGTCGGCCCCCTGCGGCAGGTCTGGAAGTTTCAGCCGGAGCCGGCTGGGTTCCTGGTACTCCGGGTCGCCGGAGCCGATGCGCTCGTACAAGTTGGAGGGCGGGCCGGCCGAGGGGCCGGGCTGGGTGTTGTTGATGACGATGGTGTCGCCGGGCACCGAGAGCCGGACGGTGAGGTCGTCTTCCAGGATCCTCCGCTGCGCCTGAGGGGAGGAGAGGAGAGAAGAGGGGCCGGTTAGGAGAGGGCGCGGCCGAGCGAGTTTGAGGCTACCCGTTCTTAGAGTCATCCCACCTCACGGGGCCCCCCTCGCCCCATCAATCATCCGATGCCAGCTTATTGACATTCTCTCAACCACCTCCCCTCAAAAGCATTACCCTTGGTGATTACCCTGGGGATGGGGGGCGGTTACTATTGACCAGAATCTGAATTGGTCTCTCGCTATAGTGACTGCGGCTTTCAGAACAGGTCAGAGACTTGGAATCCTGTGGTGAGTAACTCACTTCCCGACTCTCTCTGTCCACCATCCACAGGGCACGCCGAGGAGTGTGATGGAATACTCCCCACTTGCCTGGATGGGCACAGCTTCAATAACACTCACGAAGCTCGACACTATCCAGGGACAAAGCAGCCCCCGCTTGATTGGCTCCATATCCAACTTATTTAGTCCCTCCGACACCGACACACATCTGCAGTGATGCACTGTTCCATCTTTCCTAACCTCCGCTTTGACAACATCTCCCGAATCCACATTCCCTACCACCTGGAAGGACATTGGGAACCCCAGCCCTTGCAAGTTCTCCAAGGCACACACAATGCTCACTCCGAACAACATCTTTCACTGTCACTAGGTTAACATCGCAGACCTCCCTCCCTCACAGCATTGTGGATGGACCTAACCCCCATGGACAGCAATGGTTCATGAAGGCAGCTCACTGCTACTCTATCGGGGACAATTAAGGGTTAGCAATAAATGCTGGCCTTTGTTAAATGAATAAACAGAATAGCCTCCCTGTCTCTCCAGTCATTGTGTGGCTAACAAGATCATATAACGACAGACGCGTGCAGGTTGAATGTCCATCTGAGTTTGGAGGTACAGCCTGATGTGTGAGTGTTCAATCTTTGGTCTTATGTTCAGGAGGGTATCTAATTTCCTTCTGCATTCTCAGACCCACATTGTCTTCGCCCGGCACTTTGTGGGTCAGGAATGCCCAGCGTAGCCGTGAAATCTACATCTGTCCATGCCGAGGTTGGGATTGCCATTCTGAATGTGGGACAAAAATCATATTTCCTCCAATGCACCATTTGCATCCAGTGGTGCCAACCTATGTTAAGTGACCCCGAAGCAAACAGAAAGCTGGATGAAGAGTTGGGAACATTTTGAAAGGCAATAGTAAAATGTTCAATGTCACTATTAGGAATAGTATTGTAATGTAGATGTATTTTTAATGCATCATAGTGTTTATCATAGTGTTTATCATAGCGGCCTGTAGTGGAAAGATAAGTTGACCCTTGCATTGACTAGCGTTGCATAATTGTTCGCATGCATTTCAGTAATTTTCCAATGGAAAAAGTACTACGATGCAGTACAAAATGTGAAAGGATGTCCCCTGCTATCATGTTTGTGTCCTCTGGTTTTACTGTATTGTCAGATCTGGCTGTTTTGAAACAAAAAGGCTTCTGACAGCGGAAAAACTGTTCTGCCTCTGCGGAAATGGACACCTGTTCCTTCAGAAGCTGGAAGCTGCTGCCTGTGAATGCTTGGCTGAGTTTTAAAAGCTCACTTTGCAGATGGTCGTAAAACTATCGGAACTTCTACCATCCGATTAAAGGAGAGCAAACGTCTCTCTGATGTCATTTGTTTTTGTCTGTTGGCACTTAAAGGACTACCCTAGTTTTTGTTTATTTCTTTGGATATTTCTGCCATGGTCGTAGGCTTGCATTCACAGTTTTCTCAGCTTGTTAAGCGGTTTAGTGCCTTTTCAATTATGCCATTGGATGACGGATGATTTGGGGATACACAGTGGCCGGGGGGGGGGGGGGGGGGGGGGGGTTGGGGGGTGGTGGTGTGTGTGTGTGTGTGCATTGGTGGTGTGTGCACGTGGTTAGGGAGCTGAGGGATAAGGTTTAAGGGTGACAGAAACAATGTTGGGAGCTCGGCAGCTCTCTTATACCCAGACTGGATAACCGAAGTGGGTCTTCCCTGCACCACATTACTCACGCTTTCCACTGCAGCTCACAAACCGTGAAAAGGTCACACACGGGTTGACGGAGCGCGGTTTGCGAGCCATGGGAGCATGCAGCCCGGGTGATCTCTGGCCTTCAGTTTCCGGCTGGTACCTTTAATGGCGGCAGTCGCGCCCAGGGGATTAGTCCTCCTTTTCCTGGGGCAACCCCGGAGGAAATGGCCAGCTGGTAGGCCAGAGGCTTGAAGCCTCAAAGCCGAAGCAGAGCAGAGTGACAGCTCGCAGTGTCAAACTCCAGCCAAACGCCTCCCACGCCGGACTAGGCCTGCATTAAGGCCTTGCCTCGGCAACAAAACACAGGATAATCCACACGACGTGGGCAGATCCATGGGATCACCGTGGCTCCAACACCAACAGCTTCCAAATGAAGTATTTAACATGAGAGATCCAATCGACAGATCCCGCGGTTGGAGTGAGGTGGGACCACGTGGAGTGAGGGAATGAAACAGAAAGATCGGTCTGTCCAAAGGGGGAAAGCGGCATTCCATCAGGATCAATGCTGGCCCCACCCCGTTCACCCACTGACAGATTAGGAGCAGACCACCGGCTCTGCTATTCAACAAGATCTGTATGCATTTCCAATTCCACGCTGTCATCTACCTCTGGTGGTCTTTGATGTTCCATGCCTCCACCCTGAAAAATATTCCATGAACACTCCCCCCACCTCTTTGCCTTTCGAAGGAGACTATTGTATTGTCACACAACCCTCTCAGACGGCTCTCATCTCTAAAAGGGTGAGCCCTAATTTATAACGTGATTTGATTTGTTTTGCTATTTTCACACACACTGAAGTACGGTGAAAAGTTTTGTTTTGCGTGCAGCACCGTGCAAAGTGCTTTCGGGCGATAGAACAGGGTGAGGAATACAATGTTACGGCCGCAGAAAAGGTGCATGAAGAGCGAGGTCGACATTAAATTTAAAATTTGAGAGGTCCATTCAGGAATCTAATAACAGCGGGGAAGAAGCTGTTCGTGAACCTATTGGTACACGTGTTTAAGCTTTTGTACCTTCTGCCTGACAGAAGAGGTTGGAAGAGATTATAACCGGGGTGGGGGAGGGCTCTCTGATGATGTTGGCTGCCTTCCCAAGGCAGTGAGAATTGTAGATGGAGTCAGTGGATGGGAGGCTGGTTTGCATGATGGACTGGCCTGGGTTCACAACTTTCTGTAGTTTCTTGTGTTCCTGGGAACAACAGTTGCCGAACCAAGCTGTGGTGTAACCCGACAGGATGCTTTCTGTGGCGCATTTACAAAAATTGGCAAGTGTCCCCTAATTCTGCACTCAGCCACAAGTGGAAACAGCCTCTCCATGTCCATTTTGCTGAGACCATTCAGGATCTTACCCATGGAAATCAAATCACATCCCACTCATCTTGACCTCCACTGGGAAAAAAGCTGCCCGATCTTTCCTTATTAGATCAACTTGCCCATTCCAGGCAGCAACCCAGTAAACTGCCTCCCAGCTGTTTCCAAAACATTTGTATCCTTCTTCAACTCCTGAGACCAGAGCTGGGCATTTTTCAAGATGTGGTCTTGCCAATATCCTGTACATCTGAAAAGTAACATCCTTCCCATTCAATTCCTCTTGTAACTACTGGAAGCAGCACTCCTTTGGCTTCTTCATCACTTCACTTGCTGTGTCTGCGGACTAACACTTTGCACTGGATCCCTCGCAATTCAACAATCACTCACCACTTAAATAATACTCTGCCGTTTTAATCTTCCTTCCATTTTCCCCACATTGTACTCCATCTGCCAGATTTCTACCCGCTCACTAACCTATCTATACTAGTCTGCATCCAGGTTATGTCACCTTCACAGTGTACCCTCCTGCCTCTCTCGGCATCATCCGAAACTTGAGCCATCAGCTTCCCTTCCCTCACCCAAGTCCATTGATGGAAATCATAAAATATCCCACAGACCTGCTGAGCTTTTCCAGCAATTTCTGTTTTTGTTCCAGTTTCTCTACATGTACCCAATCAAACCCCTGCTTAAATGTTGGACCGTTTGACCTAAGCTATCTCCTTCCTATACTATTGAGCCACGTCCTGCTTAAACTCCCCTGACAGCTATAACCTCTCAGTTATAGAGTCATAGAGATGGACAACACGGAAGCAGATCCTTCGGTCCAACTCATCCATGCTGCCCATATATCCTAAATTAATCTAGTCCCATTTGCCAGCATTTGGCCCATATCCCTCTAAACTCTTCCTATCCATATACCCATCCAGACGCCTTTTAAATGTTGTAATTGTACCAGCCTCCACCACTTCCTCTGGCAGCTCATTCCATACATGCACCACCCTCTGTGTGAGAAAGTTGCCCCTGAGGTCCCTTTGAAATCTTTCCCCTCTCACCTTAAACCTCAGTTCTGCTATCAATCTATTTTTCTTCGGATTTCCCATTGCCTCGAGAGGTTGAGAAGTGCATACAGCATTCCCATGGTGCGGCCACAAGGTTTACAGCCAACCCCAGCCTAGCGCTGGCCCACCCCACCTTTCCCACCTGAGACCCACCTTGCCAAGGATCTTCTTCCAGTATTGCCTCCAGAGTATGATGAAGATGACAATGAGCAGGAGGAGGATGATGGCCACCAGGCAGCCGATCAGGATGGCCGTGTTGCTGCTGTCGGCCTTGGGGACGGGCCGCCCAGCATTCGGGGACAGGTAGACGGACGATTCGAGATCTGGGGGCCAGAAGAGGAGACAACGAATGTCAAGCACAACCACCACCAGAAGGGGAAGAAAAAGAAGGTTTACAGAGCATCGATTCATTTTGCTATTGTCACATGTACCTAGGTACAGTGAAAAGTTTTGTTTTGCGTGCAGTACAGGCAGATCATACCGTACAAAGTGCATCAGGGTAAGAGGACAGAGCGAGGAATACAATGTTACGGCTGCAGAGAAGGTGCAGGTTCGATTCCACCCTTGGTCTGTGTGGAGTTTGCACATTCTCCCCATGTCTGCGTGGGCTTCCTCTGGGAGCTCCGGTTTCCTCCCACTGCCCAAAGATGTGCAGGTTAATGAGGGTTAACCCGTGCTAAATTGCCCCCATAGTGTCCAGGGATGTGCGGGCTGGGTGGGTTAGCCGTGGGAAACGCAGGGGGTGTTGGGTTTGGGTAGGATGCTCTTCAGACAGTTAGTGTGGGCCCGATGGGCTGAATGGCCTGCCCCCACACCGTAGGGATTCTATGACCAGCCTTGTTTATCTCCATGTCAGCAGGTCAACGATGGAGTGCTGTCTGCCTTGCATGTATATCCACCCCTTAAATATGGAGTCTGCGCCATGTTGTGGGTGCGATCTCACCGATGGCCTGGCCAGCTGGAGCTATAACGTTACCTAGGTTACTGACGGTTGCCGTGATACCCCCCGCGAGGTCGTAATCGCCGGTTGATGCCTCCTGGGGAGGGATCAGCGTTTCTCTCTGGCGTGGAGCGGGACCTCGCGGATGTAAGCCTGGGATGACAGGCGTGGTGTGGTCGACGCCTAGAAAGGGCAGAGACATGTAAGCGACCGTGAAGGCCAATGTACGGAACAACAGAAGAAAGGAACTCTACTCGCTTCACTTGACCTGCCTCGAGACTTCCAACCACCTCCTGGTGACCTCTTTCACATGGGTGTCGCTGGCCGGGCCCAGCATTTATTACCCGTCCCTAGTTGCCCCTTTGAGAAGGTGGTGGTGAGCTGCCTTCTTGAACTGCTGCAGTCCACCTGCTGTGGGTTGGCCATGAGGGAGGGAATTCCAGGATTTTGACCCAGCAACGCTGAAGGAACAGCGATATATTTCCCAATCAGGATGGTGAGTGGCTTAGAGGGGAACTTGAAGGGGATGGTGTTCCCATATATCTGCTGCCCTTGTCCTTCTAGATGGTGGTGTATCGTGGATTTGGAAGGTGCTGTCTGAGGATCTTTGGTGAATTTCTGCAGGGCATCTTGTAGATAGTACACACTGCTGCTACTGAGCGTCGGTGGTGGAGGGAGTGGATGTTTGTGGATGTGGTGCCAATCAAGCGGGCTGCTTTGTCCTGGATGGTGTCAAACTTCTTGAGTGTTGTTGGAATGATATGAAAAGCTAATGCCTTGGACACCATTGCGAATGAAACCCAAGAGAAAAACATTTTAAGGGTGTTCCAATAAAGAATATTCTTGGAACACAGTTGTTACTAAACACTAAGAAGAGAAGGGAAAAAAAATCTGTGGGAACAACATCCTCCACCCCTTCCCCCCAAACTCTGGAACAATCGAATCAAGGAATGAAGAGTCTACTTGCTTTCCAGTTGGCTAGGATATTGATATGCCATGACAATACTCATGTTGATTGCCCAACAGTGAGGGAGTGTGTGGCTAAAATGTAGAGATCTCGAAAAGAGGAGCAGGCCATTCAGCCCTTTGAGTCTGCTCTGCCATTCAACTTGATTGAATCATCCAACTCAGTCCCCTGTTCCCACTTTTTCTCTGTGACCCCTTTAGCCCCAAGAGCTGTATCTAACCACCTCAGGATAACGTTCAAGTGTTTTAGCCCCTACCGTTTTCCGTGGCAGAGACTGGAGACCTCCACGGATTATTTTGGAGCCAAGAGTTGGCCGTGCCGCTCCTGAAACAGGAGCGGCGAGCACGCTTTGTTACTCTCGTTTGGCAGTACCCTCACTTCTAGGCAACTTCCAATCGAAAGAAAGGACATCTAAGGTTTGCGTAGCCGCTGGATTGTGACCGAGAGATGTCCCTGGTCGGTAAACCTACCAATCTGGGCAGCTGCCCCCTAGGGGTTCGGCTGCCATCCTGCACTGTGCAGTTCTGACCCCACCCAGCTCTGGACCACCGCACCTCCCCCCCCCCGAACATCGCCCCCCTACCTGACTGGAAGGTAACCTCGCTGAACATCATCCACGAGTCTGCAAAGTAGAAGTGGCAGCGGATAAACTGGGCGGCGCGGTGATTGAGTGGCACTGTCACATAGCGGGCGCTGGGGTTTTTATTGTCCAGGACCATGGCGGTGCTGACAGGCGCAGGCTCCCAGGAAACGGAGGGGCCGCTTTTGAAGAAACAGTCCACCGACTTAAAAATCTTCACCTGCCTGGAGAACATGTTGTTGCAGTGGACCTGGGAACAGATTCAGGTGAGGAGTTCAGTTACTCATTCGATCGGCGCGCGGGAGGACAGAAGGGGAGCAGGAGCTGGCTGTTCGGCCCATCAAGCCTTCTCCTCCATTTATCCAGTCAGAGAGATGTACAGCATGGACCAACTTTGGTCCATACACCTTTGGTCCAACTTGTCCATGCCGACCAGATATCCTAAATTATTCTAGCCCCATTTGCCAGCATTTGGCCCATATCCCTCTAAACCCTTCCTATTCATCTAGATGCCTTTTAAATGTTGTATTTGTACCAGCCTCCACTACTTCCTCTGGAGGTTCATTCCATACACGCACCACCCTCTGCATGAAAAAGTTGCCCCTCAGGTCCCTTTTAAATCTTTCCCCTCTCACTTTAAACCTATGCCCTCTAGTTTTGGACTCCCCCACCCAAGGGCAATGATCTTGACTATTTCCCATATCCATGCCCTTCATGATTTTATAAACCTCTATAATGTTTAAGCAGGTGGGACTTGAACCTGCATCTCCTGGCTGAGAGGTTAGTATACTACCACTGTGCCACCTTCCTCTCAGCCTCTGATGCTCCAGGGAAAATAGCCCCAGTCTATTCAGCCTCTTCCTATAGCTCAAACACTCCAACCCTTTGTAAGTCTTTTCTGAACTGTTATAAGTTTAACAACATTTTTCCTTTGGCTGGGAGACCAGAATTGAACACAGTATTCCAAAAGTGGCCTAACCAATGTCCTGTACAGCCGCAACATGACCTCCCAACTCCTATACTCAATGCATTGACCAATAAAGGCAAGTGTACCAAATGCCTTCTTCACTGCCCTGTCTACCTGCAACTACACTTTCAAGGAACTATGAACCTGCACCCAAAGGTCTCTTTGTTTGGTAACAATTTCAATACATTCTGACGATCTGAGCTGGGCCCCCAACTCCATTTTCCTGCCCGGGTCTCCCCACGATCCAAACACCCCTCCCCATCTCACTCCAAATCCAAAGCCCGAGCTCTCTCCCGCAGCCTCAAAAATATTCAGTGATCCCGGAGAGAATTCCAACACTTTGCAACCTTTCGAGAAAACATTGCTCCACATTTCCATGTCCACTCAACTTGCTCGTGGATGTTACTCTGCACCTCTGGAGCAGGTGGGACTTGAAGCTGTGTCTCCTGGCTGAGAGGTAAGGAAAGTACCACTGCGCCACCTTCCTCTCAGCATCAGCCTTGTCAAATCCCTCCAGTCATCACACAGGCACAGGGGAGTGATGACGAAGGCAAATGGAATGCAGGGAGATGGTGTGCAAAAGTAGCAAAGCCATGTTGCAAGTGGACAAGACATCAGTGAGATCAACCCCAAGGTACGGCTTATCGTTATATTTTATCCATTCTTGGGAATCTGGGCTTCGCCTGCTGGGCTACCATTTGTTAGCCATCTTGAACTGCCCAGGAGAAGGTGGTGGTGTGTTGCCTTTCTGAATGGTTGCAGTTCACGGGATAGTCACATGCTGTTAGGAAGGGAATTCTCGGGTTTTGATCCAGCGAGACTGAAGGAACGGCGATATAGTTCCAAGTCAGGATGGCGAGTGGCATGGAGGGGAACTTGCAGGTTGAAGTGTTCCCTTGTATCTGCTGGGTTTGTCTTTCTAGACGGTGGAGGTGACAGGTTTAGAAGGTGCTATCTAAGGAGCTTTGGGGAGTTATTGCAGTACATCTTGTAGATGTTGCATTTGGCTGTTGAAGGTGTGGCGAACTGTTTCCTTGAACCACCACAGTCCACGTGCTGCACATTGATCCACAACGCCCTTTTGGAGAGAATTTCAGGATTTTGACCCAGTGACAGTGAAGGAACGGTGAGTGGCTTGGAGGGGAACTTGCAGGGGGTGGTGATCCCATGTATCTGCTGCCCTTGTCCTCCTAGATGGAAGTGGTCGTGGGTTTGGAAGGTGCTGTCTGAGGATCTTTGGTGAATTTCTGCAGTGCATCTTGTAGAAAGTACACACTGCTGCTACTGAGCGTCGGTGGTGGAGGGAGTGGATGCTTGTGGATGTGGTGCCAATCAAGCGGGCTGCTTTGTCCTGGATGGTGTCAAGCTTCTTGAGTGTTGTTGGGGCTGCACCCATCCAGGCAAGTGGGGAGTATTCCATCACACTCCTGACTTGTGCCTTGTAGCAGGTGGACAGGCTTTGGGGAGTCAGGAGGGGAGTTGCTCGCTGCAGTATTCCCAGCTTCTGGCCTGCTCTTGTAGCCATTGTGTTTATGTGGCAAGACCAGCTGAGTTTCTGGTAACCCCATCAATGTTGATAGTGGGGGATTCAGTAATAGACCATTAAATCACCATTGAATGTCAAGGGGCGGTGGTTAGATTGTCTCTTATTGGTGATGGTCATAGCCTGGTGTTTGTGTGTCAGCCCAAAGCCTGGATATTGTCCAGATCTTGTTGCATGTGGACCCGGACTGTTTCAGTATCTGAGGAGTCACAAATGGTGCTGAACATTGTAACGTTTGGATACACTTTTCGCATGGCTCGCTGGGCGATTTGGGATTGATTGCTGTAAGCCTGGAAGGTGGATTCCTTCCTGAAAGAGCTTCCATGAACCAGATGGGCTGTCTACCATGGGACATTTATTTCTGGATTTTTACCAAAGACGATTTTCACCAGCTGTTGGGGGACGCGAACCCATGTCTTCCCCAGATACCAACCCAGGGGCTCTGGTTCAGGGGTAATACCACTGCCTTCCCCCTACCCAGGTAACTTGAGGAGGGATATACTTGCATCAGAGGCAGTTTTGAGGCTAGCTACTGTTGTCTGAGGAGGAAATGTTGGGCAGTTTGGGCTCATATCCACTGGTGTTCAGGAGAATGGCAGGTGACCTTATTGGAACAGCATATTGACATGGTGGGTGCGGAGAGGACATTACCTCTTGTGGGGCACTCTAGAACTGGGGACACCTTTTGAAAATAACGAGGTGGGGGAGCACCCATTTAAGACAGAGGTGAGGAGAAACGTCTTCTCTGTTCTTTCTTGCATCCCTTACGGCATCAAACAGAGGTCGCTAAATATACTCTTGGCTGAGGCATGTTGACAAAACGGTCCATGAGAACAGGCAGTAAAGTGGACCAGATCGGCCAACAGCGTTTGAGGGACCTAACGTGCGCCCGAACCTGCTCCCGTTTATGTGCCTGACTGCCGGCCATCAAGCTGAATCCCATTGCCTTACCTTCATAGATCTGAACGTGAGGACGTGCTCGAACTCAAAATCGATCTTCACAAACCCGTCGCTCATGGTTCCGTTGTGCCAGCCCACATAGTCATAGCCAGGCCAGACCCGCAGCTCGTGGCTCCTGGTGAAGTCGTCCATGCCCAGGACGCCGTCTGTAAGCTGGCCCAGCCCCCCATAGTGGACACTGAGGAGAGGAGGGAACGAGCCCATAGTTAGACCCCTGGCATTGAAGGTACAGCCTTCAACCAAGAGCAGGAGTAGGTCATCAGGCCCTTAAAGCCTGATCATCCACTCGTGGCTGAACGGTTGCAAAATTCCCCCCAAAACCTTCGATGAATATAAACGTATCCACCACCGCCTTAAAATTATTGAGCGATCCAACTTCCATCTTCTGAGGCAAACAGTTCCAAAGTCATAGAGTCATACAGCATGGAAACAGACCCTTCGGTCCAACCAGCCCATGCCGAACTTAATCCCAAACTAAACTAGTCCCACCTGCCTGCTCCTGGTCCAGATCTCTCCAAACCTTCCCATTCATGTACTTATCCAAATGTCTTTTATATGTTGTAACTGTACCTGCATCCACCACTTCCTCTGCAGTTCATTCCACATACAAACCACCCTCTGTGTAAAAAAGTTGCCCCTCATGTCCTTTTTTAAAATCTTTCTCCTCTCACCTTAAAATATAAGCCCCCTAGTTTTGAACTCCCCCACCCTAGGGAAAAGACCTTTGCTGTTCACGTTATCCAAGATCCTAATGATTTTATAAACCTCAATAAGGTCACCTCTCAACCTCCTACACTTCAGTGAAAAAAGTCCCAGCCTTTCCAGTTTGTTTTTATATCTCAAACCCTCTGTTCCCGGCAGCATTTTGGTAAATCTTTTCTGAACCTTCTCCAACTTAATAATAGCCTTCTTATAATAGGATGACCAGAACTGGACACACTACTCCAGAAGAGGCCTCACAACATCCTGTACAGCCTCAGCATGATGTCCCAATTCCTATACTCAAAGGTCTGAGCAATGAAGGCAAGTGTGCTAAACACCATCTTAACCAGCCTGTCTGCATGTGACACAAATTTCAAGGAATTCTGTACCTGAACCCCCGGGTCTCTGCTTTATTTTATTGTTCCTGCGAAAGTGATCCATTTCACATTCTTCCACATTACGTTCCATCTGCCAGATTTTCGCCCCTGACCCACCTACTCACATCGCTCTGCATTCTTGTGATGTCATCTCCACAACATACTTTGACAGGGACCTACTATTACCAGATTCTCTGTGGAAAAAAAAATATCCTTTGTTCTTTGTTCAGCCTTATCCTAATTTTAAAACAGAGTTCTCTAGTTCCGGACTCTCCAACAACAATAAACATCCTTTCCACATCCACCTTGTCAAGATCATTCACAATCTTATGAACTTCAATCGTGCAGGCAGGTGGGACCAGTTTAGTTCGGGCTGGTTGGGTTGAAGGGTCTGTTTCCATGCTGTACGACTCTATAAGTCACCCTCACTCTTTCGAACTCCAGTAAAAGCAAGCCCAGCCTGTCCTGACCTTTCCTCACACGACAACCCGCTAATTCCAGGTTGCAATCTTGTAAATCTCCTTCTTCCTCATAAATGAAGAGACCAAAACTACACAGCACATTTGAGACGGGGTTTTCAATAATGCCCTGCGTGTTCAATTTCACTCATGATAAAGTACAGCAATCCATTAGCCTTCTTAAACACTTGCTGTACCAGCATTCCAACATCTTGTGACTCCTGCACTAAAAAACCTCATTCCCTCAACCTCAAAATTCTGGAGTCGTTCACCAGTTATGTAATGCTCTGCCTTTATTTTATTGTTCCTGCGAAAGTGATCCATTTCACATTCTTCCACATTACGTTCCATCCGCCAGATTTTCGCCCCCTCACTCACCTACTCACATCGCTCTGCATTCTTGTGATGTCATCTCCACAACATACTTTCCCAGTCATCTTTGGGTTATCTGCAAATTTTGCCGATGTGCCTTCGATGTAGTTTATAAAGCAGACAGACGTCTGATAGAAATTTATGAAATTTTGAATGGTGCAGACAGAGTGGAAAGTATGAGGCTTTTTCGAGGGGTTGATTACTAGGGGACACAGGTTCAAGGTGAGCGGGGAGGTTTGAAAGAGGTGTGCGAGACAGGTTTTTCACACAAAGGGTGGTGAGTGCCTGGAACACGTTGCCAGAGGAGGTGGTAGAAGCAGACACAATAGCTGCACTTAAGAAGCACCTGGAAGAATACATGAACGGGAAGGGTATAGAGGGACACGGATCCTGTAAGTGAAGACAGTTTTAGTATGGAAGGGCAAAATGTGTCAGTGCGGGTTTGGAGGGCTGGATGGCCTGTTCCTCTGCTGTTCTGTTCTTTGTTCTGAGAAGTAATAGGTGCTGGGCCCAGCAAAGACCCCTGCAGAACCCCACTCATCAGATCTTACTGGTCCGATCTGAAACAGACCTTTGTTTTTTGTCATTTTTGTCCGCACAATGGGGTGTGGCACGCGGGAGCTGTCTCCCTGCAGTTGCCTGTCTCCCCTGCCTGCGAGGAGCAATTAAAAGTTGAAGACACAGAGCATTAGCACTTTTGTGTAAGTGTGTCACGGGAGACTGCTCAACGTCAAGCCAATGGAGTGTAGATGAGGCTCTCTCTCATAGAATGACTGAACCCATGTTAGTGGACGCATTGTCAGCTTGCACACTCCTCAATGTACACCCTTTCTCAGTATATTTGTGCTTGCACAAGGATTTCTGTGCGTGTATATTTACGTGACTCCACTGTTGTTTGTAGCCACGTCTTCCTTTACATTTGTTTGCATGTTGTCTGTGGCTGTAAGCGATAACATGCATGTCTAGTTGCGTGTTTTGGACAACCTTGTGTGTGTGGTGTGTATGAGTGTGTGTGTGTGTGTGTGTGTGTGTGAGAGAGAGAATGATCTGCTTCATTTTTGAGGGATCAATGCAATGGTAACAGCCCAGGTGTTCGACTACTTGACTGTTGGGTTTGGGAGAGTAGGCAGTATATGTTGTTGGGAGTCTTTTGGTATCAGAAAATATTAGCTTTTATTGAAACAAAGTAAGTTCTAACCACACACAGGTTAAGATTCCACGTCTACCACTAGGTTGCTGGATAGAACCATCTCATGGTAGATGTGTGATCTTACATCACTTCCTGATGATGCTGTGATCTACCGTGTTTAGACTTTCACATCATATGGCAGATGGAGGCCATTCAGCTCAATGGGTCAGCACTGGACCTCCGAAGACAACCCCACCGCCATCCCTGTAACCCTGTGTTTCCCATGGCTCACCCACCTCGGCTGTACATTACAGACAATTTAGCATGGCCAATCTACCCTAACCTGCACGTCTATGGACTGTGGGAGGAAACCAGAGCACCTGGAGGAAACCCACGCAGACACGGGGAGAACGTGCAAACTCCACACAGACAGTCGCCCGAGGGTAGAATCGAACCCAGGTCCCTGGTGCCGTGAGGCAGCAGTGCTAACCCACTGAGCTGCCCAACATGACCCTCTATCAGGAGGAGGAGCACTCCCATCTGACGTGTGCCCAGTCTGAAAGGCAGATTGCAATGTTCAAGTCAAGGTGCCAGATTTGAACTGGGTACCTATCAATCTGCAGTCAAATGCTCTACCGCTGAGCTAAGCATCAAACCCTAGACAGTACAGGTCCCGAATCTTTGAGTCTACTCATAGTATTGAGTCCTGTGATTGACATCCCCTTATCCTGCAGAGGTGGGCTACAGGAATCGCCTGTGCCTCTTGATCCTCTAACCATTCAGCAGCTTAGAAAGAGAGAAATAGAGCAGCAGTAGGCCGTTCAGCCCTTCAAGGCAGCCCTGCCATTCAATCTAATTGTGGTTGGTCATTCAACTCTGTAGCCCATTCCCGTTTTCGCCCACCCCCACCAACACACCCACCCCCCACACCCCCAACCACCCCCCCCCACCGTGGCTCTTTGATCCCTCTGGCCCTAAGAACCATATCCAGCTCCCCCTTGACTAGTTTGACCTCCCAGGGAATTCCGCAGGCTCGCGCTGCTCTCCAGGTGGATAAGATTTCCCCTACAACACTTCGCGCCTTTACCTCGCGATCTTGTGCCCGTCATAGGTGGAATCGTTGAGGTTGACCAAAGGCAGGCCTGACACGTTCATCATCTGTCCCATGGGAATCCGGTATGACTTCAAACCGTCTGCACAGGAAGACAAAGAGATGTTCGAGTCAAGGTATCTGAGCGGTGGGGGGGGCGCGCGGTAGCGAGCCACGCATGCGCGCGCACACACACATACACACACACACATATATTCACACACTAACACGTACACATACAGACACACAAACACGCACACACATACACACACACTCACACAAACAAGCACACACACTCACACACAGAGACACACACTCACACACACAGAGACACACACACGCAAACATGCACATTCACACATGCACACACACGCACTCTCACACACACACACACATACACGCACACACATACACACACAGATACACACTCACTCACACTCACACACACGCTCAACAGGGAGACTGCAATGTCTGCAAGTTACTTTACTTGGAGGAGGGTGAGAGGACATAGCAGAGATGTGAAAAATTGCTCAGGGTTTTCACTTGATCACTCATTCAAGGTTTGCATTTATTTAAAAATCAATTTCCTTTGTGGTGAAGAGCCGAACTGAAGCGAGACTTACAGTTAATCATTGCACATGAATTCTCAATCGCAGAACCAGAAAGAGTGACATACAAGTCGGCCTTTGTGTTATCAGGGTTTCAAAGTTTCACCGTCAATAGATAAATGTTCATTGCATGGTTCATATATGGTATCGGACTGGTTATAAATCTTACATAATAAAATAAAACACAGAACTGCGGGTGCTGGAGATCTGAAACAAATGCAAAAATTGCTGGAGAAACTCAGCAGGTCCTGCAGCATCTGTGGGAAGAGAGCTGAGTTAGCGTTTACAGTCTGGTGTCAGAACTGCTAGTAGCTTGGGACAAAGTGGTATTTATGCTAAAGACAAAGTCGGGGTGGGTGAGGGGGGAGAGAAAGACAGAGATAGGTGGAGATGGAGCCTGGAGGGATAAATATGAAAGGGGGTAGACAAACAAGGAGACAATGGATAGCAGGCCAGGGCAGAAGAGAAGCTGAATAAGAGATGAGAGTGGGAAAAAGGGTTAGCTGTGCTGAATGCAACCCACAGAGTATGGTGATTGGCCCAGGAGGACATGAGAATGGGTGACCCATGTCATCACAGGACTGGGTGTTGGGGGGGCAGGGAGTAAAAACAAAAACATGGAAGGATGGAATCAGGATCTAAACTTATTGAACTTTAAGTGGAGTCCGGAGTCTTTAAGTTGTGTTGCTTCGTATCTTAACGGAGTAAAGTTGCTTTGGGTTCTGAGCTGGTACCCACTGCAACAGCCATCTGCACCCACCAAAAGTTCAGAGACGATTCACTGAACTCATTCCTGGGATGAAGGGCTCAAATCTGATGGAGAGAGGTTGAAGAGGGGCTGTGTTTCTCGCCATTGCGGCGTGGAAGAACGAGAGGTGACCTTATTGGAAGGCAAAATATCTTGACGGCACTGGATGGGGTGGATATTTCCTCCTGCAGGGAGGACTGAAACATGAAGGATATAGTTTCAGAAGACATAGTTTCTTCCCTTTTGAGACAGAAAGTGAGCAGATTTCTCTCCATCAGCAGCGGAATGTTGCTCCCCGGAAAGCTGGGGGGGTCATGGAATTTCTTTTCTGGACAAGGAAGCCAAAGGGAGCTGAGGTCACAACCACTTCGGCCCTGGGGCTGGCACGGTGGCTCAGTGGGTTAGCGCCGCTGCCTCACAGCGCCAGGGACCTGGGTTCGATCCCACCCTCGGCCGACTGACTGTGCGGAGTTTGCACGTTCTTCCCCCGTGTCCGCGTGGGTTTGCTCTGGTGGGTTAAGGTGTGCCTCCTAGTGTCGGGGGATGTGCAGGCTAGCCATGGGTAGGGGTGTGGGTCTTCGGAGGGCCAGTGTGGGCTCAATGGATCGAATGGCCTGCTCCCGGACTGTCGGGGATTCAGTGATTCTTACTGAACAGGCGTGGCAGGCTCAGAGGGCTGGAGAGGGTAACCCCCTGCTCCCTGTAAGGAGCGACATGTGGAGGATGGTCTTGCCAACGAACTGCAGATTTAGTGGCGTCTGTTACCAAGCAGCAGCCGTTGATGATATTTCCCTCACAATCAGGATTGGGAAATGAATTTGTGAGTCCTTTCCTCTGAACACTCAATGGGCTGCAATATTTGTTCCACCCTCGGAGGGTTTGAAGTGAGTTGTTGGGGGTGGGCATGACTGCAATTCAGTAGTTGTTTCCACTGCACAAGGGTGGCAGCAGGCAATTAATGCCCCCTTTAAGTGCCTTGCCATGCTGTCCCTGGGGATTTAACCCAGGGCAGCAGAGGCCCGCGCCGAACGGGCACCCTTTTTTTTTTTAGAGGGATCACTCCAACCTTCGGACTGCGCCCTCACAAAGGAGTTACCCATAACCAGCACGGTCCCTCAAATCCTGACAGCGGTTTATAAAATCGTGAGGGGCCCGTGGATATGGGGAATAGTTAAGATCTTTTCCCCAGGGGAGGGGAGTGCAAAACTAGAGGGGCATAGGTTTAAGGCGAGAGAGGAGAGATTTGAAAGGGACCTAAGGGCCAACTTTTTCACGCAGGGGGTGGTGCGTGTATGGAATGAGCTGCCAGAGGAAGTGGTGGAGGCTGGTACAATGATAACATTTAATAGGCATCTGGATGGGTTTGGAGGGATACGGGCCAAATGCTGGCAAATGGGACTCGATTAATTTAGGATATCTGGTTGGTGCGGTTGAGTTGAACCAAGCGGTCTGTTCCTGTGTTGTACAATACACTACCTAGGACATAGAATGTCAACCCTGAAGGGTCAAACAGTTCCCAGTGGAAGGTGGGTCACAGAGAGTGTGGGGAAACCACAGTTGCAAGGCTGATGGAAGGTTTTAACCCAGTGAAAGGCACTTTCCGGAAAATAACATTTGACATGTTAGGGCAGACTTAGTCAAACAGGTTCTGGAGCCCCTGCAACAGCTCTTTGAACCCACAGTAGCGAGAGAAAGAGGGAGAATGGTGACTTTGTGCTTAATATCCCCATACTAGTAATCCAGGGAACCAGGCGAATGCCCAGAGGTCATGGTTCAAATCACACCATGGCGACCACTGGAATTTAATGACAGTGAATAAAATCTAGAATCAAAAGTGTGTCTCAGTGACCGTGACAATTTATTCACTCATGGGATGAGGGTGTCGCTGGCTAGGTCAGCATTTATTGCCCATCCCTAATTGCCCAGAGGGCAGTTTAGGGTCAACCACGTTGCTGTGGGTCTGGAGTCACATGTAGGCCAGACCAGGTAAGGATGGCAGTTTCCTTCCCTAAAGGATATTAGTGAACCACATGGGTTTTTCTGACAATCGATTCATGGTCATCATGAGGCTCTTAATTCCAGATATTTATCATCAATTGTGGTAGAAATCTCAACCCCAGTTCACTGGTGGCTTTTAGGGAGGGACATGTGACGTCCGCATGGGATCTGGCCTACACATGGACCCCAGCCATGGCCAACTCGTAAACTGCCCCTTTCGAAACGGTACAGCAGTTTACAGACAATCAGGGGCAGGCAATGGAGAGGTTGAATAGGCTGGGGCTATTTTCCCTGGAGTGTCGGAAGCTGAGGGGTGACCTTAGAGGTTTATAAAATCATGAGGGGCATGGATAAGGTGAACAGCGAAGGTCTTTTCCCCAGGGGAGAAGAATCCAAAACTAGAGGGCACAGGTTTAAGGTGAGAGGGGAAAGGGAGCTAAGGGGCAACTGTTTCACGCAGAGGGTGGTGTGTGTATGGAATGAGCTGCCAGAGGAAGTGGTGGAGGCTGGTACAATTACAAACATTTAAAAGGCATCTGGATGGGCACATGAATAGGAAGGGTTTAGAGGGATATGGGCCAAACGCTGGCAAATGGGACTAGATGAATTTAAGATATCTGGTTGGCATGGACAAGTTGGACTGAAGGGTCTGTTTCTGTGCTGTACATCTTTATGAATGGATCACTGAACCACATAGTACTAGAGAAGAGACCCTTCGCTCCATCGAATCTGCGCCACCCATTGTCGGGGCCATCCCACGAATGCATGTTGACAAAGACAAACCTGGCCAACTTGGGGGGGGAAGACTCGGGGGGAAGCTAATGAAAAATTCACTCACCCAACCAGGGGCATCCATAGAGCTCCACCCTCATGCAGACGTTCATTAGCCGGTTCGCCCTCGGGTAAAATCGCACAAAGCGGGCAATGATTGGGGGCCCCAGGTCCTTCAGCACAATGTCGTAGGGGTTTTTGTTCCCAGTGATCACCTGGAGATTGCAGAAGCAGGGCGTGAGTGCGGAAGCGAGCACGGGACTCTCTCAAGCTGCCTGACATATCTATCGCCCGTGTGGGATATCCCAGAGCCGAGAAACTCCAAACATCGGAGATGATTGAAGCGGCCGGAGCTCTTCATTCTCGAAGAAGGCTGAGACCTTTTAAGAGGTGTTTAAAATTACGAAAGGGCTCAATCGGGGAAATTCAGCTCAGCTTGTGAATGCAGTCTGGAGCAAGGCATTATAAGACTCGTAAATCCAACGGGAATTTAGAATAGACTTCCGTGTTCAGGCAAGAATGAGAATATGGAAGCTGAGACACATGGAATGTTTAGCAGCTGTCAATACCGCTACTGTTTATTTTAAAGCGTCAGCCGGAATGAGAAAAGAATTGCTTTAAAAAACCCCCGAGAGTTGTATCCAGGTTGTTGCATGTTCAGAAGCGAGTAATCTGGGCCTCATTGTAAGTATTGTTTACAGAGCTGCTTGCTCAAGTAGCAATTGAACAGTAGTTTGCTGGAGTCAAAGGGTTGTTTACAAATCGAGCTTTGGTTGGTAACAAGAAACTGATTGGTTGGTGGATGAGTGACAAGTAATCAATGACAAAGGCCTTCCGTCTCCTAACAATTGTATGGTTGGTTCACAAGTAGCTGAACAGCTTAGAGCTATAAGCAAGATACAGAGAAGATTTCAGACCACCACCAGCTTAGGGGCAGTCTCTCTCTGTTCTCTGCAGTAAAAACGACTTCAAGCCTGAAGAAAACCAGTCGAATTTTGCTCCAGGGGCTTCCACACGTTGCGTCTTTTAATGAAGGCAACAGAGACCTTTGATCAGTGAACCAGCCATGCTGTACCTCTTGTAAATCATTAAAAGCATCCGAAAAGGAAGATGGATAAATAGTGTTCTGACTAGCACAAGAAACACTTCAGACAGCACTGAACAGCTTTCCCAGTCTTCCCTCTTCCATAACACCCATGCATTTTTATTATGTTTGTGTGTGTGTGTGAGAGAGTGTGTGTGTGTCTGTGAGAGAGTGTGTGTGTGAGAGAGAGAGAGAGAGAGAGAGGGAGAGGGAGGGAGAGGGAGAGGGAGAGAGAGAGAGTGTGTGTGAGTGTGAGAGAGAGAGTGAGAGTGCGTGTGTATGTGTGTGTATGTGTGTATATGTGTGTGTGTGAGAGAGAGAGAGTCTGTGTGTGAGTGTGCGTGCATGTGTGCACACACCAGGGTGTTTCTTCAGGGGTTAGAGACTTAAATAGAGTTACAAACAGACAGTCCAGAACCGTCCACATGTAGCCGGTCAATTAACTTGGAAATTAATCATAATTTTTGTTCAGCGCACAAATCTGGTTCCTGTTTTCTGGGTCTAAAAGATGGGTAAACCGGGAAAATTTGTGTACTTGAAAAAATTCTTTCACTTTTGTGATGTATTCTGAGGTTTGATTTCTTGTGTGCCCTTCCAATGAGACGCAATACAGTTAAGGGGAGGCCAGAGTGTAGCGCAGTGGACATCATTCCGAACCAGAAGCTCCTTATTCAAGTCCCACGGCCCGTCGATCAGCAAATCCAGACCTCAGTGAAAGACAGGGGCCCAGCAAAAAAAAAATAAAGAGAGTGCTGGGCTGACTGAACGATAGCTCTGCCTGACAAATGGGAAGTGTTGGTTAATACTGTTCTGGGATCCACATGATGACAGGGATGTGACTGCACTGCAGAGATGTGCAGGGGAAAGTGGCCACGCTGTTGCCTGGGCTGGAGAGTTTCGGTTATGATGAGAGATTGGACAGGGGGTGGGATTGTTTTCCTCAGAGCGGAGGAGACTGAGAGGGGATGTAATAAAATGATGAGAGGGCATAGATAGTTTGGAGTGGGAAAAAACTTTACCCCTTGGTGGATCAATGACTAAGGGGAGGGTGAGGGCAGGAGGGGAGTAGACTTTTCCCAGAGGGTGGTGGGAATCTGGAACTCACTGCCTGTAAGGTTGGAGAGGCAGAAAGCCTCATTACATTGAAGAAGCATTTAGGTGTACACTTGCAATGTCAAGGCTGTGGGCCAAGTGCTGGGAAATGGGAGTAGGACAGTGCAGCGCTCCCTCAGTACTGACCCTCCGACAGTGCGGCACTCCCTCAGTACTG